TTTTTTTTTTGTCGTCGGGGTGGTGTTGTTTGTGCTCTGAGTGTGCGGCGAGGGGTTGGAAGGAAGCCCGGGAGCGGCCGGCTCCTGCAGCCTGCCTGCCTGCCTTCCTCCTGGCGGGGAGCAGCGGGGTGTGCTGTCAGGTCGGCACCCAAGTTAGTGCCAGACGGTAAACGGCTCCGGGAAACAAAGCCCGATGGCGTGTTGAGAACCGTTGGCAGAGCCGTCCGAAGCATCCTAGGATGGTGGAGATAAGCTGAAAAAAGAGAGAGGGTCTTGGTTGTGGTAGAGCTGTCAGCCTGCGGTGCGTCTGCCTGCAGGGGGATGCGGTGTCCTCCTGCTGTGGGCGGGCAGACACGGCTGTGCCGGCAGGAGAGGCACTAAGGGAGCCTCTGCTTCTATAACTCGTCCCGTCTGGAGTCCTTGGGTTCCTGTGTATCTCCAGGGGCAGAAGGCTGCATCTGGAGCTGGCTTGGTAGCAGAGGCGCTCCGCTGGTGTTGGTGGAAGGAGATGCTGCTGTGAGGTGTCTGCGGGAGGCTCGTTGTTTATTTCTTGACTGCAGAAGTGAATGGCCGTCTTTCCCCCAGAACTGTGCGAGGCTGTGACTTAGCAACAGGTCTGTGGGGAACTTCGCGGATCTGCCACCTCTCCCAGTCCTAAGAGTCAACAGAAATAAATGAGCTGAGGAGCAGGGAGGCAATTACTGAAAGCAGAACCTGAGATTGTAAACACAACAGGGAGGAGAAAGAATTAGGCATAAACAAGACCACTACAATTGCTTTGACAAGCACAAGTGCCATCGATTGATGTATTTTGTATCAAGCAGCCCCTCACCAAGTCCTTGTGTCTTTATAACTCTTTCAGACAACTTTTACTGTGTTTTTCCCAGGCAGTGGCTTCAGGTTGTTCTGATGATACATTGTTTGTTTCTTTTTCCAGGTAGTGTCAGAGGTTGTTTTGCTGTGTTATGTGTCATAACCTTGCACACCAATGTTTTGTTGACCTACAAAGTAACTCTGCTTTGATACTGAGTGTTTGTTTGTTGCAGAACTGAGGCGTACACTTCTGATCACCAGTAAAACCAGATGATGATTGTGTGTAACTGTTGATACCCATAAATGATTTAGAAATTCATAGCTAAGACTAGAATTTGGCTTAATGACAGTAAGGTAGGAAGAGTACTTAAGCACTGCTTGTTTCATACATCAGCATTAACGGAAAGAAAAACCCCTGCTGCAAACTCACAAAGTAGGGATAAAGGAGCAAGAAGAATGTAATTGATGCCACGGGAGAAAAAGGAGCCTCTAGAGAGAGCCTCCTTTGAGAGAAAGGTTATTGACCCAGCAGCCAGTTCAGTGAGTATCAGGTTTTGTCAGCTCCTTGCTTCCTTGAGGTAGATTTGGGGGGAAAATGTGCTAGATGCAGTATCTGTAGGAAAGTGCACTGAGGGGATGCGTGCAGAGAGGCTTGGATGCCTTACCTAGAAGAGAGGATGTACAGGATTCAGCTTGTACTACTTGTTCCTAAAACAGTGAGGCAGTGATGCTCAAAGCACATCATTCAAGGCAGTGGGCTGAGTTCTTGCACTCTCTTCCATCAGCAGTTCAATATCTATAGCACATTTCTGAAATTTCCATTGGAAACATCTGCCTGAATTGTTTGTGTTTTTGCTGTTGTCCAAAATGTCAAGCAGAAAACAAGTTCTCAGAATTTTCTTTGAAACAGTTTTTCTTCTGAATTTATAGACCAGCCTAGCGACTTGTATGGAATCCTGTGCTTCCTAACTTATATACAGAAAGCTGCAACACACAAATGGTCTTATTTTCCTGCTAGTGCTCCCAACTGGTCAGCGAAGACAATTGTATTTACATTTTCCTGTCTATTGGTGGCAGGGTGCCCAGCTAAAACTTTTGTCACGCTCCCATCGCTGTTCATAGTGGGGACTTGTGCATTAAGGGGATATTTGTTTCAGTGTTTTGGTCCCATTGTGGGAGGAAAGAACTTCTGCCAGCTGAATAAAATTGGGCAATAGTATCCTCTTCTGCACATGGATTTGATGAAAATATTACTTCTCATTTTACATTGCCATGATGGGAGTTTTAGTCTTCCTCATCTTCAGCAAAAAGGACATCTGTAGGGCATTTGTAGATGAGGAATATTCTTTGAGTTTTGAGTGAAATTAAATGTATACTGCTGCCTTTCCAGATAAGAAATCATTGTAGTACCAGAGCAGCTGGTTTGCAACCAGTTTCACTCCTCTCTTTCAGACCACAAAGAATTACTGCTTTGATAAAGCACTTAAGCCAAAACTTGAAATCACACCAAACCAAATGATTGCTGAGTTGCTCTTGTATTACTGTAGTACCTGGAAACCATGGTCACAGACTGAGACGCTGTTGTGTTGGGCAAGCATTAATAAAGACCATTTTATACTGACTCTAAAAGCAGTGCACTTTATAAGTATGTCAAACTAGTTTCTGATTAGCCAAGAAGAGAGCAAATTAGTTGTCAAAGCAAATTCAAGTGCACCTTTTCAAAATGAGTTCAGTGAGCAGCTATTATTATGGTACATAAATAGATTTTAGATGGAGTGGCAGCTCTTGCTTTTAATCTTACAGTTAATCTTTTGAAACAGTGAAAAGAAAATAGCACTGCTGTTAAGCTCCTGTGATACAAAAGTGAACTTTTCAGCTTAGTCTTCCTCCTGGAAAGAGGAGGAAAGGAATTGCTCAATCTTAGTATTTTTCCTATTGCAGTAATGGTGAACTGCATTCCACTATACTTACAGATGTGATCCTGGAGATCTAAGTGCAATTAATGCACTAAAGTAAGCCCCTGGTGAGAACAACCCCTATCTGACAGCAGTAGAACCCACAGTGATTTCTTAAGTCATTAAGAATCAGTACCCAAAAGCTGTTATTTTTAATTATTATTACTACTGTTTGATAAAAGAGTCACATTGACTGAGCTAATGAAGTACTACAATTTGAGCTATTGGAAATAAGATATCATTTTACGAGGATGTGTGGTCAAGTACTCCAGAGCTATATGATGATAAACTTTTCAGATGAGCAGATGCTTGTGATCACTTTAGGAAAATGGCATTTTTAAATGGCATTTAAAAGTAGAGTATCTATCTTTGTACAGAAAACTATGGCCAACAGCCAATTTCAACCAGAAAAATATCAACTACATTGATTTCGTTGCTATACCTGATCATTATTTTGTTTCTTGGAATACATATTTCTGACTTGCAAAGACCTGACAGCAGGCCTTGTAATTTGCTGCAGATAGGGCAATCTGTGGCCCAGCACATACATATACAAAGTGTGTGTGTGTGTGTGTGTGTGTGTATACATATATATATATATATGCACTTTGAAATACATTTAGAGTATTTTTCAGCAATTTTCTTGCCAAGGCAAGAGAGGAGTAAGAAAGAAAAAGACAGATTATGATTTTCTTGTCTTTCTTTTTTCTTTTTCCTTCTGCCCAAATCCAGTCTGAACTATGGTAGATGTGATAAAATTCCCTTTGGTGAGCACTGCCTCCCTCGTCTGCAGGCTCGCAGTGACTCAGCAGACAGCTCTGGTTCATTAACATTGGCAGTGATCCAGAGTTTCTGGTGTTACAAAGATAAACCATTTGAGAACATGTAAGGCACACAGTTTTCTTTGGATTTTGATCTGTTGCCATGCTCTTTACATCTAACTTCAATAAATATCTCTGTGTCTGTTGCATGTGAAATTTATTTTCTTTCTGTACTTTTTGCTGTATAGAGAACTAGAACTAGAGAAGACACCGAGAGCTCCTTGGGCATCCATCCCTTTCTCAAAGGCAGGACAGGCAGGTTCTCTAAAGTAATGATCCTGAATCCATAATTAAACCCCAAGAACTCCCGTTCCAGGTTTTCTTTGCCCCTTTCAATTAAATGATCAGCAAAATGAGAAGTGGTACTTAAAACCTAACTAGACTTCCCTCTTTCCCCCCCAGCATCTAAATTTCTGTGTGTTGTAAGAATGGAATCCTTGAGGCAGGAAGGCCTGAAATGCATTTTATCACATTTTACTTGTTAAAGTTGCAAAAGTGCTTGCTTTGTTCAACATTTGAGACTCCACCTTTCTGGTTTAGGCAAGCTTTCTCTCATAAATAAGATAAATGTGACAAGCAGTACAAAATAAGGGGGAAATGAACCCCTTAGACATTGCAGAAGTGGTAAAGTAAGCTTATGTAAGAATGTACCCTTTTATATACAGTGGTGTGAGGTAATTCCAGATGACAGAAGGTTTGAAGCTATGAATTAGAAGACTGTGTTAAAGGGAAGAACCTCCTGAGTGCCAAATCAAAGATGCTCCAAAGGAACAGCCAAGTGTATAGTGATAAGGGAGGATGGTTGAGCATGGCCACAGCAATAGGCAGTGTGTCAACAACAGAGTTAGCACTGCTTTGTGATATATAGCCAGAGACTGTGATATACATTTGTTTCTGCATATGAAGGAACCATTTCCCTTACTTCACTCTGAACAGTCACTTCCTTGGGACTAAAAATAAAAGAGCAGTGCTCTTTCATCTTTCTGTTGTCAGCTACAGCATGGCTATCCATGTGTGTCTTCCATTTGGGCCTTTAGATTAGCAAGCTGTATTTACTTCAGATTCTTCAAAGCTTCTTTTGTAATGATTCTGTATTGCCACATACTTTACTCACACTTTGAAAATGTTGTAGCAGAACATGGCTTTCCTGAAGGGGAATAAAAACAGTCAGGAGATAAGAACTTCCATATTCTCTTCCATCTATTCTGACCATCCCATAAATTCAGTGAACTGGATCTCATAGATCATGACCACAGCTATCTGCAGAGGGGCTCTGTGAGAGCTCAGAGCTGCACTGCTCTCAAGGAAGGCTTGATCCAGCAAGGTGTTCTGTGGGCTCTCTTCCCCCTTCCTTTGACTGCGTTGCCCAGCATGGGGAACTGGGGATGGATTTAGAACTTTTCTAGGGAATTTCAAGGTTATTTACTTCCCTTTTCTACTCTTATCTTCCTTTTACATGGAATACGCAGCTTTGTATTCTGATTCTGGGAAAAACGCAGCCCAGAATGAATACGGTCCCGTTTGAACAGTTCTCCTGAATATAATCACTTCTTCCTTTTTGCTGGAAGTGCAGGTAGATTGTTTAATTGCTCCCATCCCAATTATTAGACTCAAACCAGTTAGAAGGTAAGATCTGTAATTAACATGGAGTATTCGGTTTCAACTTCTGGTTCCCCACACTATCCTGCTCAGCATCAGTATCCTTGCTACAGCTATGGAAAGTAAATTGATTTTCACAGGGAATTAATTACCTGCTTTTAGAAGTGTTGTGTATTACAAAATGCACCTTATTGTGACAGTTAAAATCCAATTTTTGTCTTATAGAGACACTTCATTATGAAATGCTTAATTTAGCGTTCAGTGTAACGTGCTTGATATGCAGATTACTAAGATTTCCCTGTATCATTAAAGAACCTGACTTTTTTTTCCTATTAATGAAGTTTGCAAGCTACTTGAGACTCTCACAAGTTGCTATTTCTATATGCTAGCATAGAGCAGTGAGGGTATATCTGAATGTGACTTGTATTCTGTCTTGCATGGCATCTAAAAGGAGAGCCTTGAGCATTTAGGCAAAAAAGTTAATACAGTTCTACCACTTAAGTGTTGCAGGTTTTCCATGGAAAAAAATCTGGTTTTTGTCATTCACTGATCAGTTACACAATGAAGGGGGAAGCTAGAAGCATGGATATTTCTTGTGCGTGCTTTTCCTGGTGCTTAAATTCAGTGAACTTCTTAATGAGATCAAACATCTGTGGCAGTGATGACAATGGAGCGCAGGCTATGAGAATATTTGCAGGCAGAAAGCCCATAGCCAGTTGAAAACCACACCCAGCCATCCTCCTAACAGTGACAGAGCTCAGATGGAAAGCTGTAGCTAAATTGGAGGGTTTTAAAAGCGGTTGTGCCATTCATTTTCTCAACAGAGGAGAATGGGCATTTGTCTTCTTCACAGTAGAGCTGAGCTCACAGGGAGGAGAGGGAAGCAGTGCTTTCAGTGGTTCTTCTTCCAATTTCCTGTCTGTTCGTTGATATCACTTTCATAAACATGGTCTGACTTTTGTCTGGCTAAAAAAAAAAAGGATTGTTTTGCTTACCTGTAATGATCAATAAGCCAGCTGACATTCTTTCACATAACGAGTTATGCACTTACAGAATCTTTGAGCAGAGTATGGAAGTGGAGAGGAAAAGAAATGGCTGATTTTTGAGTTTCTTTAGTTATCCTGAGTGGTCTTCGTTGGATAGTTACATAGTCTGTATCTGAGTGACTCATTGGGGTTTAAAAGAGTTCAGGGCACGTCGGTGCAGATCAGAAGTTAGAGCAGAAGTTGTAAAAGTAGAGTTGGTGAACCTGTTTGGCCTAATTCTGAGCTCACTCAGTTGTGGAATCAGGTGTTAATAAATACAGTCAAGTTCATAAGGAGAAGGAGAGAATTCAGTATGAACATGAGACAAAAATAAAAGGGAAACAGAGAACTGGTATGATGGGAAATGAAGCTTAAAGAGCCTCTGTTGAGGAGTATATAATCACATTAATGACCTTGCATTCTCCTCAGTTAGGGTTTAGACATGTAGAAAAGTGCTAGGATGTACCACTGATGCATACCTCTGGTTTCCCTGGAGCTCAGACGTGATGAAGGGAGGGAGGGGAACATTTGGACAGTCTCCTCTCCCCCAAGTTAATTTTAAAACCCAGTGCATGATGCTGAAAGCCTGCAAACTCTCCTCCTCTTCGGATTTGCCAGCTTGTATTTACAGCCTAAGCAGAAATCAAAGAGAAGAAAAATATTTGACAGCTGAATTAGCAGGAGGTTTCTTTATGGAGATAAACGGAGATACAGTCATCAGAGGGCTGCTGGATGTTTAGACCACTGTTATATTATAGAAAGGTTGAAGGCTTCTGATGAGCAGAGCTGGCTGCTGGTAGGTTCAAATTGCAGGGGGGTCATTTCACATCCTTTTGAAAGACAAGTTTAGAGTACAGGAGATGTAGTTTACCTTACATAGGTCTGTGTTCTGTAAATTCATTCACACTTGAAAATCCAGATTCTTAAGGAAGAGTAATGTACAAAAGCTCTAGTGACTTTAGTGCCGAAAGCAGCCTCTGCTTTCATGCTGAAACTCTTGTTTTACATGTTAGGTAGTTACCACGCTAGACTCCACTAATGGTACCAGTTTTAACATGTTAGGAATTCCAGATTAGTAATTTCAAAGCAGATTTATGTGAAATTACTTCCCCTATTACCACTTGAAATTATTTACATGCTGTATTCCTTACCGATTAAATTTTGTTTTTGTCTTTGTTTTTCCCCCTAATATACAGAGTGCTGTTCCAGACCCAACACAGGCAAAATGTCCAGCAGGGGAGGGAAGAAGAAGTCAACCAAGACTTCACGCTCTGCAAAAGCTGGGGTTATATTCCCTGTTGGAAGAATGCTCCGTTATATTAAGAAAGGCCATCCAAAGTACAGAATTGGTGTCGGTGCTCCAGTGTACATGGCTGCTGTACTGGAATATCTGACTGGTAGGTTTTGCAAAACGACATGCAACAGCAAAAGAAATAAGACAAACTGAATTTGCACTGTGTGCTAATGGAAAAGCTTTAAAAGATCCTTTGATTTATAGAAGGCTTTTGAATGAATAAAGAAGTCATGGCGTAAGTAACTGCTGTTGTTGACACATTTAAGCCAAAAGTAATATGCAGTCATTCCTGCTCTTGCCTCAGATAGTTTTTGTGCAGGTCAGTATTTGATTTGCTTTGACTCTTTCCATATAGGCAGTCAGAGGGATTCTTACATCAGTGAGAATGGGCTGGATCTCACATCACAGAACAGGAGCTTTTTTTACCGTGTGATTGTTTATATTGATGTTGTGGTTGCAGCAGATGCAAGTGTGTCCAGGGAACGGTGATCTTTAAGCCATCATCCTGAGCTGATTCTCTGAGGAAGAATTGAAGTTCATTCTTTCATTTTTCAATTTGAGAGCAAAGTAGCAAAGCACATGGTTTAACAACTGCCCTGATTGACAACTATGATTATAGGCACTGAAGGCTATTTTAGATACAACTCATAATAGATATTGACAAGGAAGGACAGAAATAGGCTGATCTATTTTTTTTTTTCCCTATAAACCTTCCACCCCTAAAAATGAAGATTGGTCACAGGGAATAATTAAGTGCTTAACTTCTGTGAGGTACTCCTATTACAAGGCTGAATTTTCTGAGCCATTAAACTTTCTTATTTTCATTTGTTCATATTCACAGTTTTCCTTATTTGAACCTTTTCTTTAAAAGAATGCTTTTAAACTTCATAGATGGCCTTAAAAATTAACATTTCCTTCAGCTAGGTTTCCTGCTTAGAGCAATAACAACTCAAATAAAATGCCTCTGGGGTGAATGGGGCTTTGAATGTTGCCCTTTTCAAGAAACAGAACAATACAGGTGAGCTCAAGATGCTGCTAATGAGCAGCACGTGTTCTTGGTTTACTGACTTAAAGGTTTTCTGAGGTAGTGACAGTTTAGGCAGCAAAGTATAGACTTGGGAAATAAGTGTTTCTTTAACAAACATGGATCCAAAGATAATGGTTCAGGAGATTTTTTTTTTTTTTTTAATGAATAATTGCACACACTGCTACTTTAAGAAATAGTAAAAGAGGTGGCAAAGGGGAGAAAGATGAAGGAGAGCTTAGGAGGGAAAGCATCTTTACTTCTCCCTCAGAATATCTGTAAGGTTTTTGTGTTGTTTTTTTCCCCCTTGTGTATTGGTTAGCCCTCGTGACATGTAAGTCAAGATTATTTTTCGTTCTTATGAAGATAGATGTGTTCCAAAAACAAAGATACTCTTTTTCTTCCCTTAGTTAGTATTATGTTCTATGACTTTTTCAACCTGATGACTTTTCTGTAAGTTTTTTGCACTCTATATAGCAAAGTTTTTTTAATAATTAATGAATAATATATTTTCTCAACTTCAAGTTTCTTTGTTTTTCATTATGATTCAGAAAAACCTCTGAAATGGGAAGCAGAGAGATTTTTGCTCTCTGTGGTTTCTTTATCGTTTTTATCCTGTTGGTAGTTGTTACGTTACAAAAATAGAAATCTTGATTTATTTCTTGAGGCTCTTAAATATGTTCACTTCTGAGACTAAATGGAGTTTGAGCCATTTAAAAAAGAAAAGCAGGAATATGACATAATGGAGATATAACCATAAACTGCATAAGTCAGAAAGCATCCAGGAAGGAGAGTAGAAAAGTAAAATATGAAACACAGTTACAGAAAAGAAACTCTTCAGAAAAAAAACAGATGAAATGTCAGAAGTGTGACCTAATAGGAAGGAACCCACTAAAGTTTGAAAACTAGTTCATGTGTGTGCAGCATCTCACATCAGTCCTTTAGAAGATGAGGTGCTAAATTTTGCTGGCCTTTGTGAAAGTTGAACTCTGGATGTAAATCTGAAATTAGGCCATAACGTGATCAGATCTGGGATTTTTGATTTAGCTTGGGATTTAAACTTCCATAATGCTTCCAGCTGTTGAGACTTGCAATTCAGTTTCGGGTCCATCTGTAGCTATGGCTTTATCTGCTTTTACTTTTAAGGTAACTGTTACAATGTATGTGCTCATCAGAAAGTGAAAATACCCATTCTTTAACTACTTATAGCATATGTGCCCATTTGTCATTGAAGCTCTTCTTCAGTCTGTGCTCAACAAAATTCTTTTCTATTTCCATTTGTGTTCTTCCCATGCTTTTCTATTAGCTTGTGTATCTGCTCTTAGCTCCAAGAGCAGGAACATGCATGGTTTTAGCACACAGGTTAGTCTGGCTGCTTCAGTTGCTGTGAGCTAAATGCTGTGTGTATTTGCTGTGCTGGTTTTCATTCTGATGGCTTCTTCTGCAGGGGCTAGAGTACATCTTCCCCATGCTCTTTATTGTAGTGACTCTAAAAATAATAATAAAACTCCCCATAATATTAGCAGCCAATAAAGTGATTTTCCTTATCTCACATCTCAACCTATTTAAGTATTAAAGAGTTGCACAGAGAGCATTTTTCTCTTACTTAATAAAATTTCTGTTGCTACCTGTAAAAAATATTATAATTCTCCCAACAGCCCACCAAATGTTCATAATTTGCTTTCTATAGGCACATCACCTGCTTATTCTTTCCTCCTTTTTAGCTAAGGAAATCATATGCATCATCCACTGTAAATAGGATAGGAGTGTGTGTTTGAGGGTGCAGAAGACATCTCTGTGTTTTACCAATAATAAAGCAAGTGGGTATACTTTCTTCACTCTGGAGGAATAGTGTGGATGAGAAAGAACTGTAATTCATGGGTCTTATTTCTTTTGATTAATTTCTGTTTAGCTGCAGAACTAATTTTAGGCATTATTAACTAGTTGGAGCTGTCAAGAAGTTCGATGTTACTAATTCCTTCTGTCATCTTTGCTTATTGTGGCTCCTTTGTTACAATAATTTATTGCTTCTTCATCTTCACACGTGTGGAAAACTGCACTCCTTATTTCGTCTGCAACAAAGTGCATCAGTATCAGTTTGTATCAAATAAAATAACAGAGTCAGGCAAGAAGGTGGCTGCTGCCTTTGGCTGGGGCACTGCAGCCACTCAGATGGCCTTGTATGGTTTGTATTTGTCCAAACCCATCCAGCTGTATTTGTAAACAGTTACTGTCTCTTTTGATCTACAGCTTGCATAGGTTACAGTATGGTCCTTTGGTTACAGCGTTTGCCCTTGAAAAAAGTGTGTGTGTATATATATGTGTGTATGTGTATATATATAAAATCTCCTGAGCATATTTAGAGGCAGCAAGAACCAAGCCTGCAAGCAATTTCTGTTCCCCCTGCCCCCATCATCTTCTCTATGCTGTAAACAATTTTCAATTGCTAGAATGTCATAGCAAATGAGGGAAATGGGAAGTTTATAGAACAGGAATACGGAAGAAATAAGGCTTTGATTTATATTTGTTCTGTACTTACTGAAGTAAGGTAGGAAAAAAATGTCTGTTTTCTCCATTAGGGTTTTTCTTTTCCCCCAGTGAGATTTTATTGCCCGTTGTGTACTGTTGATCATGTATTTTGTTAAAATGTGCAATAAGCACCTTTTCAATCTTAGGACTAGAACTGCATCTGAGGCATTCTGCTGCTCACCTTAGGTTTTGTTCTCAGGCTTTCTGATGTCACCAGAATCCCTTAATGGAGGTTCATGTGTCAGAGTTCAGTTCATTGCATTTTCACCTTGATTAATTTTCGATGTGGAAAACTTTCCAAAGCCAGCTGCTGATTGGCTGCAGAAGAGAAGTCCTTCCTGGAGGCACTGTGTTTAACTGCTCGCTTTCCAAACTGCAAGCTGATCAACTTGAACTGCTGTTCACCTCTCGTGTTCTGCTTGCTGCTGAAAAATTTTACGGGGTCACAGAGAAAAACAATGATTTGCCCTGTTTGTCGAATCAGAAGTACTGCTGAGCTTCTGCTCTGGGGCAGAGGGGTAGCTGAGAGGTCCACAATAAAAATAAAAAAAATAATAATAAAAAAAGCATTAGGTTAAAAGCAGATTGAAGTTCCAGGTGTTCTGAGGCTGCCATAAATAACGATCCTTAGGGAGTAATGAAATTTAAGAAGAGAATTAATTGACAGTATCTTTTTGATACAGTTGAGACGTATTCACTACTGAGATACATTGCTTCTATTTAAACAGACAGCTTCAGAAACACTAATCCCTATTACAGTGTTATGCCACAAACTGTGTCCCAGAAGAGGCTTAAAGTAAATTAAAGGGCTTGTAGGACCCATGCCTTATTAAAGCAAGCATGAAACTACCTCTTCAGCTCCGGTGTGCTTTTAAAAATGGATTAATACCGGGCCTAAAACACATCAGAGTTGTTTATGCAGTAGCCTTGCAGGCAGAGGCCTTTAAAAAACAGCATCATAGCAAAGAACTTTTGTAATGTTCTTCTTTTACATAAGGCTTCAGTCTTTTCCTTAACAGAAGTGAGATTGTCACAGCTAGAAATTGCAATTCTTTAAGAAGTGACAACTTAGATCTAAAACTTCACATTGTTATAACTTGAATGGCTAACATTCTTTCTGAATTAACACGTGCGTGAATCGGTGTGCTTCAAATGTATGTAAATGAACATTCTTTCATCGATTAGCCCTTCCTTGGCTCCTACCCTGTAAACCCTTAAGTGTGTGCCTGCCTTAACTTGTTGTCCCATGAACTTCAGTCTGGCTCTCCTACAAAAGCTAAGCTTACACAAAGCAACTTGCCAGATCGGGGTTCTGTTGTATTCTGCAGATCAGGTTTGATGAAAAACAGTAAAAGCAAAAGCATTTTCACGTGGTAAAAGCCCTCACAATACATACTGATGGGTCTGTATAGATACCTATTTCAGAGGGGTACTTTTGTATCAAAGTTTGCATTTGTGCCATTCTGAGATAGTGTACAAAATGATACGTCAGGGTGGTTGATGCTTATTTGTTTTTTGATTTTACGTCTTGGTTACCAAATTATCATCTC